AGAGACACCATTGTGGTACAATAATGCTCATCACAGTAGCAATATATTCTCAGACATTCATCACAGATAGTGGTCAACAACTTCCCAGAGGCAGCATTGAATAACAAGCTTAAGCACACACATGACCACAAAGCTTAAACACACACAAGACCACAATCACAGTAACATCCATAAGAAGCAGAGACACATTTAGAACAATCACATCCAATAATGGAAATACTATGAGTAATTGAAGTTAAAAAAGGTGACAGGAACTTCCCCACTTGTACATTGAAGCCCAAAAATTTGGATCAGGGCTTGGAAGCAAGATGTTCAGCATATCGATGTGTAGATGCATGTGTGAATAGAGCGCCTGAGAATGCTCAATCCCACGTTTTTCACATCCCTTTGGGTCATCAATCTCAGTGTCGAGAAGAATTAAGTCCCCCTCCTCGCTCCCATGAAGAAAAACGTTGTCTATATGTGATTCAAGGTCGATGACGTCCTTCATGTCTCTGACCGGGGCAACATCGGCAGCATCGTCCTCGCTATGGATGACGATGACCTCGTCCTCCTCCGTGTCATCAGAGATGAAATTCACGTCCTCACCTCCACCATCTTGAAATTCCGTCTCAAGAACAAAAGATTCAAAACATAAATCCAACGATTCCATTGCAGATCGTGGAGGAGAAGGCGATTCCATTGCAGATCTTGGAGTTGAGATTGAAAATCTCAAAAGATAAGATAAAAAGGGAGTGATTGAGGTTGGGTGAGGTTGGCGAAAGAGAGAGAGTCCGTAAATGAGAGGTTGGCGAGAGATAGTAAATGAGGGGTATTTTTGGAAGAGTATTGATAAAAACGTAGAGTGGGAAGATTATTTTCGGACGGAAAAAAACGTAGAGTGAGAAGTTTATTTCGGGACTGAGGGAGTAATTATTTTTCATTTACTCTTTGCATTCTCGAGTTATTTCTTCTTTAACAATATGCGCTTCCATGACTTTATTGGCAGTCAGTCCCTATATGATTAGTGTAGAATTAAGTTTGCGTTGTGTGATACTATACATATGGACATTTTAATACAGTACAAATTAACGAGTCTATCTATGAGTGATTCAAGTCCACATTTAATTGATAAATAATTGTGGTCAATCCTTTTATTTTCTTAAGGAAAACTGCATCTACATTATGTATCTACATTAGGTATTGCATTTGGTTTTGTTTATTCTTTTCATTCTTGTACTCCCCGTCCAACAATAAAATTCTCGTTCACTATTCACAGAGTCAAACTTTATTCACTTTATTGACCTATTTTTGTGTCTTGTTTGATAAAATAATATAGTTATGTCCCCACTAGTTTTATAGATCTTTTCATGTAGTTTTTAAATACGTAATTTTAATTTTTTAATTTTATACCATTTTCATATAAAATGATTTGAAAATAATTTCAATCAAACATCGTAACACGCAATGAGAACTTTATTTGTGAATGGAAGGAGATTTGATATTTTGATTATTTTTTAATTCTTGTTTCATTGTTTTTCGAGTGTATAAATTTTGACCGCAGCACTTCTTTTGGCATTGTATATTTACCAGACCAGCCTGAAAAATGAAAAAATAAAATTAACCCAATCCAAAATTACATTTTAAACCCTATTTTATTTTTTTAGAATACTTTTACTTTAAAATTAGGCTCTAAAATTTTAGAGCCCCTGTTCAATTAGCCACTTTGGACAATCTCCGGACCACCCATATATATTTCCATATCGAAGAATACACCATGACACATTTGTCATGTATGCAATATCTCTTAGATTTAGCAAATTTAAATAAAAAGGTTATTATAGCATTTTTTAGAGGGATTTAACACCCCAAACAATTTTGCAATTTACAATAAACATTTCAAGTAATTAGTCTGCCTATACAAATCACAAGTTTCCATTTGTGTACTGAAAAAAGACATGGTTCTTCAATTGGTGTAGTAATAGTTCCTATTGCCATCTTCTTCAGGTGCAAAATGGGGTAGAAACGCATGGAACATGAATGCAGATCCCAAAAGCCTGCAAATCAAAAAAACATCTCATACAAATTCAATGTAAAATATCACAAAGCCTATTGTGCTATATTTGACTCCATTCCAATTGATATCCTAAAGATAGGAGGTGATGGACAGCACTTAATCTATGAGTCCTCAATCTGCAAGCCAAACCAGTAACAATTTGGCTGCTAAAATAGATAAACTCAGTGTTGCTACCAAGAAAAAAAGAAGTTTTGATTGCCTCAGTTAAATCCAGAAAATTCATATGGATGTAGTTTCCCAGGGAGGTTCGCCCTGCATAGCAGGAACCCAGATCCAAAACATCTCAGGTTAATGGATTAAATCCTCACTAGCAATCACTGGAAAGAAAGATTGTGTAAATAAATAGTTCAAAGGTGAAATATTAAGATAATAATTTGCCTCAGTTAAATCCAGAAATATCATATGGAATATGACTTCACACAGGAGGTTCATCCTGGCAAGCAGGAACCTGGCTCCACCACACCTCATTTATATGGATTTGATCATCAATGGCAAAAGTTTCATAAGCATGTGAGGATGGCTACGAATATCACAAAGAGATTTTGTGCTATGATTTAACTCCAAGCTCATTTTTTTGCAGAGAAGAAGCTGATAGACACATGGCTTTCTGGGTTTTTCAGACCCTACGTCCATAAAAGCAGAGGAAGAGTATAGTTAAAACTCAAAGGAAATTTCAAACAAAAAATGGCAAAAATATAGGGGGAAAAAGAGATCTTAGGAGGCTCAGAGAACAAAAACAGCTCTTTCAATCAATGATGTTCAGAAGCAGAACTGGCGTTTAAGGCTGAATTGTTATCATCACAGCAGTAGATCAACTTACACAAGCAAGAAATCTGAAAAACAATTTATGGCTCATATTAAGAAATTCAACCATTGTTATTTTTCTGCTTCATTGCCAAAGCTCGGAAGCGCGGATAAAACACTAATCATCGCCAAATTCTTCAAAAAACGAACCAGAGATTCAAAACCGCAAGAAGAAATTCAAACAGATGATTAGAATCGAAAGAAAATTGTAGTGTCGCCGTTGATTTGACACAGAAAAGCCACGGGAAAAGATGTACAAGGGCTAAACTGCAACACTAACGGCTGGTTTGATTTCGCACGTGCATTGGGGCTGCTTCTTCTTCACGAAGAACTCAGACGAGCCTGGGAGAGCGACGTGCGAAGATGACGAATCTAGGCCAATCTAAAAGTAATCGTCATCGAGATTAAAACAGAAAAAACCAATTTCATCATTGCACGCATATTCCACACAGATCTAATTTCTCTCTAACGACACAAATAAGTAAAAAAAATCAAAGTCTCAGAACATTATAATCTTTTCATTGATTTCAAATACTATCCAGCAATAATGAAATTCATCACTGACTTCTGAAACAAATTTATAAAAAAAACAAAAACAAATCTTTGATTCACTAAGTTAAAGAGAAAAAATCGAGGTGGCGTTTACAGAGCTTCTGGCGACAGAGACAATCACTTACGACGCCGTATCGCCGTGTTCCGATCGGGCTGCGATCAAACGATTCGAGAGATTGCAGGATACTGGCGTAGGCCGTCTAGTTATATACGGAGTATATAAGAACTTCCATAAACCCTATTTCACTCATTTGGGCCGGAATGTCTCAGGGTTGGATTAGAGATTTTAAATATGTATAATAATTCCTACTAGAGGCCCGTATGACGAGTCCACGAGATACGAGTTTAGATATGTTCGGTATCATAAATCATATAGTATGTGATTCCGTGCTCGTTCCTTACAATATGTAATTTACAAGCTAGTGTTTTCATCTGTGCCACGAACGGGGTCAAACGAATACATTTTTTTACATAATTATTTTTTTTCTTAGGCAATGATTAAAAAATCGAGCAAAATCGAACATTAGAATTTTAATGAATGATATATGATAAACGTTTGCTAAATGGAATTCAACTATATATAAATTGAAAAAAACATGTAAGTGTATAATTTAAATCTAAATCTTTTGGAACACTTCGTGGTAAACTACATTTTTGGTGAAGTTGCAAGGGTTATCGTTGTGATCTCAAACTAAAAATTTCAATCATGTCTTTGCTTTCACTCGTGAAACTACAATATAAAGTTGATCGTGAGTGAATATTGTTTTGGTAAAAAATAATCCAACAAATGACAATGTTTAGCCTTGACTCTTATTGATACTAATGGCAATACTTAAAAATATTGGGAATTGTCTTCTTTGAAGCTTAAATGGTCATCTAGGATCACACGATACCAGATTCATTTTTGGTATGTAAACTTTCTCGCCGGCATTGTTTCTTGATACAACAATTATACCGATAACATTTTTTCGCAACTCTTCAACGATTAACATGGTACCATTACACAGCTCGGATGTTTGATCAATGTTTCTGAATAACAAGATCGATCGGTACTCCTTTCTTCAAAACTATTTTATGGTGCGGAATTCCAAGACATTTGATATTGTTTACAGACTCGATCATTGCCCAATCACCATATATGCCTACATTTGAATCTGCTTAACATGAAGAATAAGAACTCAAATATTCATTTTCATCACCATGAATAAGAAATAAAATAAATTCATTTATCATTTCAACAACTTCAAGCATGGGTGTTAATAACGCTTTTTCCATAAAAAAAGTATAATCTTTCATACTCCCTCCGTCCCTCTAAGATCTTCTCGTTTTGACTTTTGGCGGTTTTAAAGAGAGTTGAAAAAAGGTGAAAGTTTACCAAAATACCCCTAATGAAAATGGATGGGATGTATTAAATAAGGTGGAAAAGGTGTAATAAATATAGTGGGGTACTTGTGGTATTTTAAATGTTAAAAAAGGTAATGAGAAGATCTATGTGGGACAAATAAAAAAGGTTAATGGGAAGATCTATGGGGGACAGAGGGAGCACTTTCTAATAATTCTGGATATGTGAATTCCACTATAGTCTTAAGCAAAGAACTGGAGTTAAGAATCAAGGATTCTAGTAGAATTCCACTATACTCTTGTACCAAAAGTATAAATTCAACATTTGTTATTTCAAAAATACAATATTTATTTCAACATTTTTCCTAATGGAATCAAAGCTAACTTCATTATAACTTATCATAAAAATACTCGTAGGACATTAATTTATAGGTAAAATAGCATCTAATTCTTTAACTGAAAGGTTTAGTATAATGAAGATACAAAACATTGAATTAGGAAAGAATTTTCTCACAAAATGAATATTCCTTGTCCATAATTAAATTTTTCAAATATTTTATATTAAAATATTCATTTTATGTTGTATATGTCCTAAAATAGGTGGCATATTATGTGTCAGTAAAATATGAAATTTCTGTATAGGTGATGAAAATATTTTATTTATTAGGTGTGAAGATTTAAATTAATATAACAAAATTGTCTTCATTTAATATTTATTTATTTGTCTTAAATATTTATGTGGATTATGCTAATATTCTTCTAGTCTAAATATATACTACCGGAGTATTTGATAAAGTAGTATAATAAAAGGTTTATGATATATATATGTGTGTGTGTGTGTGTGTGTGTCTTTTAAAAATATATTTTATTAAATACCCGAGTATATACTTAGGGATCTAAGTATCATTTTTATATATAAAGAATTAATGATTCTTTATCAAATACTATTTGTATTTTATAAATATATTTTATATATATATATATATATATATATATATATATATATATAATAAGTAACTTGTTTATTTCAAATACTCCGTATAAATTTAAAAAATATAAAAATTTATAAGGTGGAGAGAATATCTTGTTTATTATACAAAAGGTTTATTATATATTAAGAGAAATCTTTATTAATTTTAAGTTCAGTGGTTGATATATTTTCTAACATTTATTATATTTATTTTGTATTAAATACGTTTAGAATTATAAGTAGATCAAATTGTTATTAATAAATTCTAAAAATTTTCATCTTGTTTTAGTTTTTTACTTTACATTTACTTTTAAGTAAATTCTTTAAAAGGTATCCTGTTATAGTTTGATTTACATATTATTATATCAATAATTTAATCCCAATTATTATATTATTTTCCACGAATGGTCCTATGTTAACACTTCCATTAAAAACGTAGATAAAATTATAAATTCACACTCCTCTCTCTCCTCAATTAAGCTTCATCTCTCATCTCGCACTCCTTTTCCAAACCCGTTGCTGAGTTTGAAACTTTGAAACCAAAACCAAAATTATCACTCATTTCTCAATTATTTGTCTTCTTGATGGAATCTAAAATCGAAACTACTAACCTTCATGGATGAATTTTAAGATTTGTTTTCTTTGCAATTGCCTAAGACTAACCCATAAAACTCATCCACAAAGGTTTTTGGTTTCCACTAGGAAGAAGAACGTGAATTTACAATTTTATTCATGTTTTTAATGGAAATGTTAACAAAGGACCATTCGTAGAAAACAATATAATAATTGAGGACTAAATTATTGATATTTGAAATGTAGGGAATAAATATATGAAACAAAATATAACTAAGGACCTTTTATTGAATCTACTCTTTACTTTTCTATAGAAATGATCTTCTTTCCTTTTTATCCTATTGACTAATTGTTAAAATAAATGCTTGAAATTCTAATTTATTTTAATTTGTTTTTCTTTTAATGTTATTGACTGATTGTTTAAATAAATGCTTGAAATTCTAATTGACATGATTACAACATTTTATTTTAAAAAAATATTCATATGCCTAAAAGTTTGTTCGAAATTTTATAATTTATTAAATCCGAGTCGGGTATTAAAAAATGTTCATGTATACTTGTGATTAAATAAAATTTTATTAAAATTTACAAATTCTAGTAATTCTAAATTTGGATTCAAGAATTCAAGAAATTTAATTATCATTGTTTTAAAAACAAAGTAAAAAAGATGAAATAATTGAAAAAGGAAGGAGATGAAATACTAAAAAAGAAAATAAATGCTTAAAGATTGCCACATGTCATCCTCTAAATATTAACACATGTCACTCTCTCAAGTTTGACACATGTCAATCTCTTGGAGACCAAAATCTCAAATTTATATATGAAGGATAAAAGAATAATTGACTAATTTTTTAAATAAATGCTTGAAATTCTAATTTATTTTAATTTGTTTTTCTTTTAATGCTATTGACTGATTGTTTAAATAAATGCTTGAAATTCCAATTGACATGATTACAACATTTTATTTTTAAAAACATATTCATATGCCTAAAAATTTGTTCGAAAATTTTATAATTTATTAAATCCGAGTCGGGTATTAAAAAATGTTCATGTATACTTTTGATAAAATAATATTTTATTAAAATTTACAAATTCTATTATTTCTAAATTTGGATTCATGAATTCAATATAATTACTTATCATTTTTTAAAAAACATATTAAAAAAGGAGAAATAATTGAAGAAGGAAGGAGATGAAATACTAAAAAAGAAAATAAATGCTTAAAGATTACCACATGTCACTCTCTCAAGTTTGACACATGTCATTTTCCTGTAGACCAAACTCTCAAATTTATATATAAATAATTTGTATAAAAATAAAAATTAAAAATTATATATTTGAAAATTTCGGTAGAAGCTATACAAAATAAAGTGTAAAAAATATTTTAGTATCAGATAGTCTATGAAAACATTCAAAAATCATTTTTGGATGAGAGTATTTTTTAAATTAAAATTTAAATATTTTCCCTAGGTCATTTTAGATTAATACAAAATAGTACCTCTGTCCATATATTTTGAAACATCAATCAATGTCGCGTAAATTAAGTAAAAAGTTGCATTTTTTTAATTAAAAATAATAATAATAAACATGAATTAAAAAAAATAGTGATAAGGAAAAAATAAAAACAGAGAAATTGAAATAATTAATAAACTATATTTATGAATATGATGATGATGACTCCCATCCATCCGTTACCCGACCCTCCACTGCCCCCATCACTCATCATCTCGCGTCACCCACCCTTCTCCCTTCCTCTGTGCCAATGCCCCTACTCTTCCCCTCATCATGTGTTGCACGCCTCTTATTTTGTTAAATTATTTTTAACTTTATCTCAAAATAATTTTTAAATATCAATTTTTAGATATTAACCATGAAAATGAAAATTTAAAGGAAAATTTTGTTCCAGCCGAATAGAAATGTGGTGTAAACTATTTTTTTCTTAACAAAATTTCCACCAAAAGTATTTTTTAAAAGAAATTATTGGAATTGAAATTATACTTTTTTGAGTAAATTCCATAAAAGATCCCCAGTTATAGGCTGTTTTACATATTTAGTCCCTACATATCAAATATTACTAATTTAGTCTCCAATTATTATATCATTTTTCACGAATGATCTTTTGTTAACGTTTTTGTTAAGAACATGGATAAAATTGTATATTCACACTTCTCTCTCCTCAATTAAGCTTCCTCCTTCCTCCCGTATTCTTTCCCAAACTCGTCGCTGGGTTTGAAGCTCTAAACCTAAAACTGAAATGATTATTCCACTCTCAATTATTAGTGTTCCTGTTGGAACCTAAAATCAAAACTAATAAGCTTTATAGATGAGTTTATCGGTTAGTCTCAAGAAATTGCAAAGAAAATAAACATCAAAACTCATCCATGAAGGTTACTGGCTTCGAATTTGGGTTCCACCAGTTAGATAAACATTTGAGAGAAGAGTGATGATTTCGATTTTGGGTTCAAAGCTTCAAACTCAGTGACAGATTTGGGAAATGAGTGCGAGGAGAGGGAGGAAACTTAATTGATGAGAGAAAGGAGTGTGAATTTACAATTTTATCCACGTTCTTAACGGAATGTTAACAAAGGATCATTCATGGAAATGAATTTAATAATTGGAGACTAAATTGGTAATATTTGATATGTAGAGACTAAATATGTAAAACGACCTATAACTGGGGACCTATTATGGAATTCACACTACTTTTTTTGTACAAAAGTTGTTCGATGAAGCGGTGAATCACTGATTTCTATGTTGGACCAAATAAAAAAATTTAATTCTCCCGTCTAAAAAAAGTTTCACTTTGACTTGACACAAAGTCTAAAGAAAATAAAAAATGTACTTGAAAATGATGTAGAGAAAAAAAAAGAAATATGTGAATCATTCAAAGTTTTACATAAAAAGAAGAGTAAATTTTCAAAATAGTCTTTTCCAATGCGATGTTTTTTCCAAATCAATTCTCAATTAGTTTAATTACATACATGGTCCTCTATAATTGAAATTTATTCCTTAGATAATCCTTCGTAAATAATATCATTCAAATAATGACTAATTGGGGGGATTTGATATTTTTTGTTAGCTAAATTTAGAATAAGTTATTAAAATAATCATTTCTAATGAATTAATTTTTTCCCAATATAGTTTCTTTCTAATTAAAGATATGTATTTAATTCAAATTCTAAAAGATTTTTTCCTATGTGCTTAATAATTCATGGATTATGTATAGTCAATGTATATTTTTAATTTTCCATTTAATTGTATAGAAATGATTTTTTTGAGAATATACTTTAAATTTAGATGATAGAAACACCAAAGTACACTTTATTAATTATTATTTGAGTTGCATTATTTACGAAAAACTAACTTAAGGATAAATCTTAATTATAAAGAACCAAGTAGGTAATTACAACTTATTGAAAACAGAATTGTAAAAATACCTTATTACAAAGAACCATTTTAGAATTTTTTTCTAAAAGAAAAGAATGTATTTTTTTAGAGATATCCCACAAAGAAAATACAAAGTCTTTTTAGGATGGAAGAAATAGAATAATGCTAAAATCCAAGGGAATGCTCTCACATATAATTTTATACCTACAGAGACAATAATCACATATGATTATCTTCTAAATGTATAAATTATATACTCTCTCCGTCCCTAAAAACATGGGAGATTATGATTTCTAGAGAATTTAAGAGGAGTGTATTTTGGTGTTGAGTTTCCAAAAAATAATCTTTGATGTGATATGTAAAAGTAGGATTTGATGGGTAGATTAATAGTGAATAGATGTGATGCGATAAGTATGTTAAGGATTAGTAAGGATAAAAGTGACTTTTTAATACAATTAAAAAATTCAAAATGAAATGTCAAAAAAGGACCATCGATACACTTTCTGTTACTGAGAGGAATATAAAATTGGCTTCTCGCAGGGAGACGAAGAACCATCCTCATCTTACTCTATACAAAGCAAAAAGAAGCTGCTACAGTGTTCCCGCCAAAACACTGTAGCACAGTACTGGATTGCATAGTGTTGGGCCTATATAAACAAGATTCGGCCCACACTAATATAATAAACCCAATATAAAAAACCCTAATCCACAACACAGCCTCACTTCGCAGCTATAAATACATCAAAAAACAATGAAAAAATAAATTAGATTTTCAGCCAATTACAATCTTCCAATACTATATCCTGTAGCTTTTCCTTCATCCAAATCAATGGCAGCTCCAAGTGACTGGTGCTTCCTCAGAAATGTAAACACCAAGACAAAACAATGTGCAATTAAAGTTCGTGTGGTTCGAGCATACCGATGTCCTCCACATGCTTCTTGTAACGCCCCGAAACCTACCCTAGAATTATTAATGAATAATTATTCAATTAATCAAATTTGTTTTGATTAAAATAAATTGTTGTTGGGCTTTGGGCCGAAATAAAACATATATTGATATCCAATATCACAATCTGGATAAATCTTATAGAGGTAAATCCAACATGTTGATTTATTGTGTGATCTTGATTGGGAACCTGAGTACAGACCCAAATTAAGAATAAATGAAGAAATTGTTTATAATGTGAATTTTAAAATGATTTATTGAAATAAATCATGGGAATAAATAATATGAATTAAATGTAAGAACCTTTTTGAGTAAAGGTCAATTAAATCAATTTTGACTCTGTCAAAGTCAACCACCCAAAAATATGATGTCGGAAAAAGTATTACAAATAAATATAAAAATTATATCGTTAGATAGAGTTTAACTGCCCGATCGCAACGGTGCAAACGGAATTCAATTCGGAGAAAGTTGGACCAAAAAGTGTACC